GCAACAACAGCAGCAACAGCAACAGCCGCCGCCACCTCCGCCGCAATCGCAGACACAATCTCACAGTAATAAGAGAGCTAGCAGTTCTCAGACGACGCATAGGTCTAGGTCGTCGGCACAACAGAGTAGCAGGTCGCATCGAACCACGCCTCCTACGTCGCACGCTCAAGCCTCGTCTCAGCACACGAGCTCTCACGTAAGTCACACGAGCTCATCCCATGCCAGTCATACGACGGTAGCACACACGACGCACGTACCGCCCCAGTATCAGCAGTCTTCGTCGATGAGCGTACCGCCCGTGCCTCATCCGCATTCTCACACGCATTCTGCTCACTCGCACAACATGGCCGTTATTTCGCAAGGGAACTACATGGCCGTTGCCTCGCAAACCTTTCCCACGCAAAACACCTACGTGATCCAACATCGAAGCAGCAGATCCGGCGCACCTACGCCCTGCACCACAGCCACCAACTTTTACATCCAAACGAGCGCGATGCCGCCTCATTCGCACACACCTGCGCCTTCTTTGTCAGCCTCCGGAAACCACCAAACCACCAACTCGTGCAGCCTGGCAAAGCTGCAGCAATTGACCAACGGTCTGGAGATGATACCACCTACTCCGCCGCCTGCGATGAACCTGACGCCACCGCCTCCGATTCCGCACACTATGACACCGCCGCAGACCTCGAGGCAGTTGCCGACACCGCCTCAAGTACCTCTTGGCTATGCGAAGAATTATTACAACGTGAACACCGTTCCACCGACAACTCCCGGCCCGCCTAGCAGATCGACCTCCAGGTCTTCCGCGAACGCGAACATGGCCTCTTTGACCCAACCGTATCCAAGCGAGAGCCTCTATCGGCAGACTCTCGATCCGGCAAGTACCTGTCCGCAAATGCAGAGCGCCGCCAGCAGGGTCAGCCCTAACGTGGCGTTGAACACGAATCTCATGGCTCAGTACGGTTACCGGGTGGCACAGCCTGCCACCGGTTATATGAATCAAGCAGCTCAACTTGGTGGCTTCATGAATCAAGCCAGCCAATTGCCCGTCGGAGTCGTAAACGTACCTGCACCGTACCCTCAAGACCCTCACCAGCAGAATCCGGCCGCGGTCTACACTACCTATCACGGTTACATAAACGGAGGTCTCATGCAGCCCCTAAATAGTTCGATGAGGCCGCGTTAGCAGCAGGCCCACTCACCTAAGCGCACACTCTCTTAAACCACGGGCACCATCGTCGTTTAAACGTTGGACACACACACACACACACACGAGTTAATGCTCTCTTCGATACCGAGTCCTGTAATGCGTCACGTACTCGGACCTTTTCTACTTTCTTGCATTCGCTTCCATTCGTTTCTCCTTTTCGCGAGCGTGCGTGAACAACAGGCCTTTCAGCTTTTCCTTCTAACCAACTGCTGTCGTCGTCTCCTTTCGCGTTACCTTAAACACACCTCCTCTCTTCTCTCTTGCTCATCCCCTTCTGATTACCACCCTCCTCCTTGTCTTTATACGCAGTTAGACGTTATGTACGCAGCCAGAGTCCATGAAAGTAGAAAATAACGGAAGTGTTTGCATCGTAAGAATCAAGAAGAGCTCGTGTTAAACGGATTCTCAACTTGTTGAGTGTATGCCCAAACGAATGTGAGTAGTATGCAGATTTTGTGTGTGCGTCTGCGTATGTGTGCGTATATAATGAGAGCCTTGCGTGATTACCAGGGACGAAGGGGTGTACGTACGTGTACGTACCAAGTACAATGTTGCGGTATCGAATGAGCGAAAGGCGATATTCGGGCTCGTAATTTGTGCATTTAAAGTGACGACCCACTAACTCGAATGTCGATCGATCGATACACGTGTGGGTGTTTGTGTTCGCCGTGTGGCGGTGTGTGCATGCGTGCTTGCGTGTGAAGGTGCACGCGCGAATGAAGGCATGTGTGCATGCAATGTATGTATGTATATAATAATCTATCACTCCTTCGATCCACGATCGACAAAATGGATACCTATTTTTAGTAGGGCATTCCCTCCCAAAACTGCAACGGTGTTATGTTTTGTGTATTATAGTATATATATATACACTATACGTATATGGTTATATGTATATGTATATATATGTACTACACATAAATACTTACAAAGAATATTCTGTTTGATATTATCGATTGTTGAACGTTGTTGTTTACGTTTTCTTCGAGGCACGCTGTACTTTACTGTATCATAAAATACTTATACTACTATTATAATAATTATAATTGTACTATTGCAAATTAATTATTATCATCGTCAACGGGATAATCGTCGTCGACTCGTTCGTTCTCATTGACCGGTAATCGTCGTTTTTATCATCGGTGTTAACACGACGTTTCTCGTTTATGACCTCCTCATACGATATCATTCTTGTCTACGTCATCTTCGTCGACATTATCATATTTCTTATTACCGCTACCGCTGCTGTTACTATTACTACACCACAGCTATTGCTATTATTACCACTATTATTATTATTTTGTTTATTTCTACTACTACTACTACTACTACCACTACCACTACCACTACTACTACTACTACTACTACTACTACTACTACTACTACTACTACTACTACTACTACTACTACTACTACTACTGCTACTACTACTACTACTACTACTACTGCTACTACTACTACTACTACTACTACTGCTACTACTACTACTACTACTACTACTACTACTACTACTACTACTACTACTACTACTACTACTACTACTACTACTACTACTACTACTACTGCTACTACTACTGCTACTACTGCTACTCCTACTGCTACTACTGCTACTACTACTACTACTACTACTACTTCTACTACTGCTACTACTACTACTGCTACTACTACTACTGCTACTACTACTACTACTGCTATTATTATTATTATTATTATCATTCTGATCTTCATCATCGTCTTCGTTATCGTCATCATCATCGTCATCCCCATTTTCATTCTCATCCCCATCCTCGTCATCGTCATCGCTACTATTATTATTACCATTATAATTATTACTACTTTTATTAATATTATTATTATTGTTGTTGTTCTGTCATCGTCATCACAATCACCACCCTCATCGTCGTTGTCGTCGTCGTCATCATCCACGTCACGATATATAGTTACATTTCACTCAGTCCCAATGCCTTGTAGTGTACGCACACACTCATCCATCCACAGACACGCGCGCGCGCGCATACACACACCTCGTTCGTTACATTCATTCGTTACTCTCTATTGTACGTAATGTTTTTATTATCTATTATTGAGCGAGAGGGCACGTACGCTAGTTTCGAGAAGAATTATAACTGCGTAAAGAGCTCTTCCACGGAGCGTCGCGAAAGTTACGCTGAAATTATTTTTTGTATCGAATTAGAAGAGGAGGGGCGAGAACTTCATTCCTTCAACCTCTTTGTGGGAAATTTAAAATGGTGCTCGTTCGTGTACGTTCTATTGTAATTTCCCTCTTGTGCACGACGCTTCGGGGAATGGTCACGAACAAATAATATATTTATAGTACGTTACGAATTTAATTTTTTCAGACGAGACTATAAGAGCGAGAGGCAAGGAGTTGCCTAGTTTTTAGCGTAATTCTTGAAGGATAACAAAAAAAAAAAAAAGAAAGGTCATTGATAGTGTAAAAATATATCAATATTTATTGTACATAGAGCTAAAAAAAAAAAACTACTAACAAATAAAAAGGAATAAAAAATTATGGCTTTTCAGACATATTTTACAGGAATGTGAAAGCAACGTAAGAACTTGCAACGAAAACGTGTACTATTTATGAGTGTAGTGTTCGGTGTAGCAGCAGCACGCGTTCACTGATCAAATTTCTTTCGACTCTTTTCCTCCGTGGTTCCCCGTACAGACGTTTCTTCTTCTTCTTCCTTTCTCAGTATCTTCTTCTGACAACGAATAAAAGATTATATGTACTTGGACGATGAACAAGCAAAGTTCGAAGCCGTTGTAAATTTGTGTTGCAGACACGCAATTACCTCGACTTTCGTCTCCTTTTTTGTTCTTCTCGCCTTTTTCTCTCGGCGTTTGCCAAGTCTATGTATTTCTTTCTTTGCTCTGGAGTCATTTGGGCCCATAATTTCCCAGCCGATCGTGCAATCACAGTTACGTGTTCTTTAGGCTTTTTACTACGTAACCGCAAAAAGAAGATGATAAACGGATTAGTCGCCCGATATTTTATTATTTCCTTTCCATTGGCTCGCTGTTCACAGCCGTTCACGGCTCTCTTATTCTTTCCGGGACGGTCATCTACGCTACCCAAAGGTGAAAGGTACAAAAGGTACGCTTTTATGTATTATCTTTGATAGTTGCGACGAAAAGGAGTCCACCTTCGAAACGGACACCTCGTCGGATACATCATCGGCAAACGAGAGAGAGAGAGAGAGAGAGAGAGAGAGAGAGAGAGAGAGATATCTTTGCGGAGGCTGCGGGCACCCGGCCTCAATGTGATCTTTCGACGAGATATTATAATACCAGGGGAATCGCCGCACAGAGTCCTGCCGCGTGCCGCATTACTTGACAATTTTTTTTACCAATACTTTTTTTTTCTCGCCAAAACCTGAAGTTGAAGCGATATCGACAATGAAAACAGAAAATAGATCTTCCTTTGTTTCTTTGTAAAAACAAAGACGAGCCGGTTAAAATTCAAATACTTGGAATACAAATGATCTTGTCACCAGGCTAGGAGGAAAAAAACACCGATCAATTTTCAGATTATCTGAATTTATATTTACTAGTTTTCTATCGTCGAATATGTCAAACAGTCTTTGTATTCTCTATCGATACAATTTCTTTCTCAGAAACTTTCAACTTCTTCTCACGAATATACGCGAGGTAGTACGTAAATACATACAAACAGACCGGTATAAAATCGCGCGATTAATAATCAATCGTCAGAGATTCACAAACGGAAACGTGTGCCTGAAACACCTTTCGTTTAATTACAGTCCTTTGATTCTTCTTATAATTCTCCGCCAGCTTGAGCAGCTTTTTTCGGCTTCTTATTCTTATTCCACTTATCTCCGCAATAACAAGCCTCCTTTTGTGCGTCGATATAACTCTTGCATCCTAAAGCAGTCGTACCCGTGAAAAGCATTTTCGCCGCAGCTTTACACGTATTCATTATGGCGGATGATTGATACCCGTCGCAATATCTATACAAGCATCTCTTAAACTCCAAATCACATTTCTCCTTATCAGAGTTGCAAGTATCGTAACAGATGTCATGGGCGTCGCAACATTTTGTCATTTCTGCGAGTGGCAGGTACTCTTGATTTATCTGAAATCATCAAGTCCAAGATGAAATCCACATGTCGCTTTGTGATTATCGACAAGCAAACATTTGCCTACTTCGATTCCCAGAGAACCGCATCCGTTACTTTGCGCCTTATGATTCCAATCCGGTTTCGGCGTTATTCCTGAAATCGTCACAAAGTATTTTCACATCGCAAACTTATCAATTCTACCGCGACCAATTAGATTTAACCACGTCGGAAATATGTACATATATACGCGCTAGCTACTTTTTCACATAGGTCTAATCTATACATTCTGTATAGATATGTATGTGTGTGCATTTTACTTCCGCTAATTGTTCTACTCCCCGTAACACAATATTTTTTCCTCTTTCTTTCCCATCGCTTGCAATCATGCAAGTTGCATAATCCACCGAAATAGCTAAGAAAAGTTAGATGCACCAAGTGTATTATGACGTTATCCTATCGTATCGTATCAAAGTGTTTGTCCATCAGTACCGCGTGAAGTAGCTTTAACACTGCAAGTATAGCGATTACACTACGTATAGGTTAAGTACGTACCTCCTGGACATTGAAAAACACAGTTTTCTTCCACTGCTGCGTCAAATACCTCGTGTATGTCCTTAATTTTTCTAGCTACAGTGATTGCATTTTCAAATAAATCTTGAAATACCGATTCTGCTGATAATACAGCGTCCCTTAAGTTGGATAGTAAACCAGCTCCATAGCCTGACCACGCGTAAGCGAGGAAAGTCAAAACGTAAATTAAAGCTTTTCGATATTGGGAAAGATCCATTTTCATATGCCCACGATAAAACCACTACTGGTGTACACTGTTTCTTCCACTGATCTGTCTCTGCGTATTTTTAGGTAAATTGACTCACATAGAGGTACGCTCGATTGTAGTTATGTACGTGGTGACGAACGATGAAATAGTTCTCGCAATATATTTTCGTTATAATTGGCATATAGAGGTATGCACGCGCATACGCCGATTTCAATGAAAATAAAAAATAAATCGTCTCCTACGAAAATTCGAAATAACTGGTTTATTTTTTAATCCATCCAGTAATTAATTGCCATCGTACAATTATTTACCCATTACAATTATTATGGGAATGCTAGTGATTATTCAAAATCTTCGTTGTTTAAGCAATAATTTTTATTAATTCGATACAAGGGACCAATAAATAATGTAGAATCTTGTGATACAGAATTGACAGAGGTAGCATATTAAAATTTCTTTTCCAACTCTCCATTGTCGTACAATTTCTTCACGTCTGTCCCACCTCCTAGGCACACTCCTTTTACAAACACTCTGGGTACTGTTCTGGCACCTGTCATTTCACCCAATATAGTTTGGATCTTATCGCCATCCTCTCTCTCATCCAGCTCGATAGCTATATATTTTTTATGCAAATTATCAAACACCTGGAACACATGACAGATTATGTAAAGTAATAGAAATTGTATAGTTGTATGGGTTGAAGCTACTCTACCGTTACCTGTTTAGCCATTTTACAATAAGGACATTTTGTTTTAGAAAATATCACTACACTGTTTGACGCAATCAGCTGATTAATTTCCTCTTTCGACATAGACATGATTTCTTCGGGTGCTTCCGCTATGCTGCAAACTAAATTAAACATGTTAAATTAACGAGGATTGTTAATGTTATAGAACAATGATACCTGTGCTTTAATTCCGATGTCAATGGATCATTGAAAACGCATAATTTCTCTTCGTGCACGTTATTAACATTTCCATGAAATTAACGATTATTGGGGTACTTTTAACCACCTGTCTCATAATTTTTCTCCTCGACTGCTGAAGCCGGACCGTTTCCGACAATTATTTTCGACATGCCACTGATTAAAGCTGAAGAAATTGTATACATGTTGCTTTGAAATTTTCGATTCAAAAAGTAATACATATTTGACGTTTTGACTGACGTAAATTTTTCTTTTCGACGTTGTTCGTTGTATATTACGAACAAAAGACTATCGCGAAAGAAATCGATTTTTCTCGCAGAATATTTAAACGCAAATTCTACGGTTTACAAGTAAACATTATGCGTTGATTATATATTATTTTGCTTGAAAATGGATTTGATGAATAAATATTAAGAATACATTAATGTACCAATGACACGAAACGTGTCAGTGGGGAAACTAACGTACCACACTTTTATTTTTCGAAGTACAAAAACGACTTGCTACATTATGTAATACATACACTTATATATATATATATGTATATGAATTATCTGTTCCCCTTTTTAAATAATTTGTCTAATCCACTTACTGTAAGTGGCAAAATAGAGAAAGCTGCTTCGTCTATAACCTGATGATGTGTCCACTGGAAACTTAAGCTTTATACTTATGTTGTACAATCTGCTAATCTAGAATTCCACGCTGTGATACGTTTAACGTGATGAAATCTTACGAGATATGACATTAAACTTGTAGTTTCTTAACGTTTTAAAACAAATTGGAAAGTTTATCAACAATAGAATTATTCAACAGAATGTCGAGATTGAATTAAAGTACATATATGATCGATTTGTGGAAGTGTGTGTATTTAAATATATATATGTACATATATATTTGAAAATTCAATTGTCGAACTGTGAAAAAATTTCCGAGTTTAATCGGATATTGCAATATCGAAGTAACATGATAATGCTGATAAGCAGTGTAAGTATTTTTGTTGAAAAATGATTTGTCCATCTGTATTATACATGTTCGTGACTTTTAATTTGTGCACCAGATGGCACATTCTGAGATGACGAAAATACACAATCAGCTTGTGAACGTCTATTTGAATTGAAAATTCAATGACTATCGTGTTGGAAGTGTTCCCTTGACACTTGACGTTACGGATTATCGAATAATTTTTAAGGTTTCCTCGGAATAAAGATGGTGTAAAGGACAAGTGTTTTAAAAAAGATGGGCAGAATCGAGAAAATGGCCTATCCAGCAGGCGGCTTATACGTCGTCGAGGGTGAAGTGTGCCTTCTGGTAACGGCTATGCGACGAGGAGGTGCTCGATGGTCTTCCTCACAGTTACTTCTATTTATGGTAAAACATATGTTTCAATTTGAAAAGTGACAGCCCTTGGTCTGCTAATTACCTATTACGTTAATACATGTCATTATCACGTGGATTTATTTTGGTCGTTATCAGATCAAATATATATATATATAGAGAGAGAGAGAGAGAGAGAGAGAGAGAGTTATGTTTGAATAAATGTTAAAGCGATTTAACACAATTAATTGCATTTAAATTTTTATGTTTATTTTTAAGGATGACGATCAGGATGCTCTTATAAAAGGATTGTTCAGTTTGAAAGAGGCACTGAACGAAGCAAAAGATTTATCTTGCTTAGAACCAGGAGTGTTTCTGGCTCCCTTTCTGGAAATTATCAGGTCAGAGGAAACAACTGGGCCTGTTACAAGTCTTGCACTATCAGCTGTTAATAAAATGATATCTTATGGTTTAGTAGGTCTGTACAGCATCTTAGTTGTTGACATATTTATCTTGTTACTACTTTTGTCAACATATGAAACCTATTTTCACAGAATCCGATCATCCTGCAATAGCACAATGTGTAGAGGCTATCGCAGATGCTGTTACGCACGCAAGGTTTGTCGGGACTGATGCATCAGGAGATGGAGTTGTTTTAATGAGAATACTTCAGGTTTTGAGGGCTCTTATGTTATCACCAGCTGGAGATTATCTTTCGAACGAAAGTATCTGTGAAATTATGCTGAGTTGCTTTAGAATATGCTTCGAAACACGTCTGAGTGGTATGAATTTTGAATGTATTTATATTCCTCTTTATTTCAGCAATTTATTAATTTTAACAAGGTTTCTTGGATCGCAGAATTATTGAGAAGAACGGCGGAACACTGTTTGAGAGATATGGTGCAGCATCTTTTCACTCGATTACCGCAATTTGCAGATGATACAAGGGTCTTATCGAATATGAAGGTGAGTTGTTGGAAGGTATCAGAGGATAAGTTAGAAATTGGAATAGGATAAGTTTCTAATACTCTGTTTTTAATACTTTTTTGGTAGAAAATGAGAGCGAATAGTATGGAAAATACTCGAAGTAAAAACCGAAGAAATAAAAGTTATTCTAAGCAGAAGATAAAAGTGAATACCGATAGTGTAGGCGATACGGAAAGTCAAGTTGTTAGTCCAACGGAAAGAGCCAGATCGAGTAATTTGGTAACACCTGTTAGCGTTGCAGGAAATATTGTTGATATGCAAGGTTCTTTAGATCATGGAGGTGTTGAAAAAGCAGAGGAAGAAAAAAAGGATAGCAAGGATAATAGTGGGAAAGATGTAAATGAGACGAGCGGAACCATCAAGCCGGAAGACGAATCGGATGTAAAGAGGAAAAAGGAGGATCCGAAGAATACGAAAGAATGTTGTAAAGGAAATAACAATGAAACGACGGATAAGAGAAAGATTGTGAGTGAAACAGAGCATGTTTCAAAGAAGGAAGAAACGAATGAAGAAAATGAAAGAAAGAAAGTAACAACTCTATCTAAAGGAGAAAA